GGAAGGCCGGGTGCTGGCAGCCCACCACCCCCAGCCCAGGAACCGGCCCCTCTGCGGCTGGCAGTGTCCCCACGTACCTGACGGTGATCTCGCGCTGGGTGGCAGAGCAGAGTCAACCGGCGTGGCAAAATGGGAGAGAAAGGACATCCAGTCACTGCACCGGTCGGGCACAGCCACCGCGCAGCCCCGGGCCAGCTCCTACCCTGTCTCCTGAGGCTGAACCCAGAGCAGGAAAACCACCACTGGGCACAGCCGAGAGGGAAGGGTGATGTTGGGAGAGCTGAGATCACGAAGAGCTGACTGGGACGGAGGGGGACAGAGGGCGAACGAGGCTAGGCCAGACCGCAAGTGCCAGGCATCACTGCCGGGGCGGGCGCTGCGCCCAGACCCATCTCCACTTCCCCAGCCCTCGTGTGGCAGTGCACTCTGCCCCAAGAGCTCCACTAAGACCTTCTGTAAAGACAGAGGTGACACCGAGAGCCTCTGGGTGCTCCTGGAGCACAGGGCTGTCAGCAGCTCATCCTCCCCGCTGTGTGCGGAGTACTCCTCCTCACCCACGCTAGCAGCAACCGCTCAGCCCACACCTCACCTTCTCCAGCTGGCTGTGCACGTGCTGCACAATGAGGTCCAGGGCCACAAAGTTCTCCCCACCTGACAGGAGAGTGGAGACGCCAGGTCAGACGCAGGCTGACCCAAGCCCACCCCAGGACACCCGCTCCCGACGCTGGGGTCAGGTCTGGTGCACAGTGCAGTCTCACCCCTGGGCACCACGATGTCGGCGACCTGCACGGTGGGCTCGATGTACTGCTCGAAGGCTGGCTTCACAAACTTGTTGTATTGCTTGATGACGCCCACAATGTCACGCCCACGTTCCATGATGTCGCGCTGCAGCCGCCGCACCAGCCGGATGTCAGAGTCCGTGTCCACAAACACTTTCATGTCCAGGAGCTGGAAAACTGGGAGGGGTGAGCACCCCCTCTGCAGCCCCCCGCCAGACCTGCCTTGTTCCCCTTGCCCCAGCGATGGCACCCAGCGCTGCTGCCGCCCCAAAGCCTCCGACATGGAGGTGCTCTGCCAGCAAGCGGTGGGTGACCTCTCCCTCCGCAGCCCCCAGCCAAGACCCTGCCCCAGCGGCACTGAGGGCCGGGCCAAGACAGCGCCCATCCCACCCGCAGCGCACCACCGCACGCCTCCTCCCACACCACACACCGAGAGGGGTCACCAGCCGCATCAGGCAGCAATACCTTCAGCAACTCCTTGTTCGCAAAAGCCAGTATCCCTTCGAACACGATGACATTGGCCCCGTACACTGTTTTCTGTGGGCAGACAAGAGCCATTCTCATCCTGCCCCCCTCAAGCACTCTGCAGCAGTGCCAACACCCGGCACAGACAGAACCTCAACCCCTGACCCACGCCGGGCTCTCGTCACCCATGGGTGGGACTCCCCATAACCATCCTACATCACCCAACCGTTAAGGTCCCTTTTTCTCACCCCTGCACGACCCGGAACCCCGAGCCTTGCTCCAGAACCCCAAACTTCTGCCCAAACACCTTCACAGAATCACAGAATTTTCAGCGTTGGAAGGGACCTGTCGAGACCACCCAGCCCCACTCCCCTGCTAAAGCAGGACTGCCCAGAGCACATCCCTCAGGACTGCATCCAGGCGGGTCTTGAAAACCTCCAGAGAAGGGGACTCCCCCCCCCCCCTGGGCAGCCTCTGCCACTGCTCTGTCACCCCAACTGTAAAGAAGTTTTTTCGTGTGTTGGAACGGAACTTCCTATGTTCCAACTGTGCCCATCGCCCCTCGTCCTGTCACTGGGAACCACCGAGAAGAGTCTGGCTCCATCCTCCTGCAACCCACCCTTTAGATATCTGTAAGCAATAATAATGTCTCCCCTCAGCCTTCTCTTCTCCAGGCTAAAGAGTCCCAGCTCTCTCAGGCTTCTTCCCCAGCCCCTCTCCTCCCTGCACTCCTCCATGCTCTGCACTACAGCCCCTCCCCGAACTCTGTCCCGACCTCCGTTTCCACATCCACCTCCATGTCTCCGTGCTCCCTCCCTGCC